GACCTCCGGCAAGGTGAAAACTCTGTGACCACCTACTTTACAACTCTCATTCGCTATTGGCAGCAGTTAGATTTGTTTGAGGTTCACGACTGGAAGTGCTTTGAAGACCGTGCATACTTCAAAAAGATAGTGGAGACTAAACGAGTCTTTAAGTTCCTGATGGGACTCGACAAGTCTCTTGATGAAGTAAGGGGTAGAATTATGGGAACAAAACCTCTGCCAAGTCTGTGAGAAGCCTTCTCTGAGGTACGAAGAGAAGAGAGCCGTAAGCGAGTCATGATGGGACAATCCAATTTTGCCACTCCTGAAGCCCCAAGTCTCGCAGCACTCAAAGAAACTCAGTCTGACCCTAGTGCTCTTGCTGCCCGCAGCCAGTCACGCTATGCCAATGACAATCGAACGAGGAAAGGCCGCCCTTGGTGTGATCATTGTCGAAAGCCTGGGCATCTCAAGGAAACCTGCTAGCAGATTCATGGGAAACCGTCTGACTGGAAACCTAATCGAGACCGTGAAGCAAAAGGGAATGCAGCCTTTAGTGATGCCTCACAATTCAGCAATTCTGTCTTCAGCAATTCCGTCCCTTTCTCAAAGGAACAGCTTGATGTGCTCCAACAACTTATACAGAGGGCAAATATCAACAACACACCTGAGAACAAGAATAACACCAACATCTCAGCAATGCATGCCTCAACATCTCCTCATTCCTCTTGGGTAGTGGACTCGGGTGCATATGAGCACATGACAGGTGACAGATCATTTTTCTCAAAGTTTTCACTATGTAACAGCCATCAAACAGTGCGTATAGCCAATGGTACACGCACCAAAGTGGTCGGAACTGGAACCATCTATCTCTCAAATACTCTCATTCTCAAATCCGTGTTATTTGTGCCTGATCTTGACTGCAATCTTGTCTCGGTGAGCAGATTAAATCGTGATCTTAACTGTGAAAATAAATTTCTTGCTGGTTCTTGTGTTTTTTAGGACTTGAGCACAGGGAAGAGGATTGGCAGTGCTGATTTCCGTGCAGGCCTCTATATTATGGATGTCAACCCTTCTTCAAGTCGTTTTGCTGGTCATCAATGTCAGTTGAGTCATAGTCTTAAGTCTAGTAGTCATTCTAATAAGGAAAGTGAAATTATGATGTGGCACTTTCGTCTAGATCATCCTAATTTTCTGTACTTGAAACATCTGTTTCCTTCTCTATTTATCAATAAAAATCCTAATTTCTTTCATTGTGAAGTATGTCAATTGGCAAAACACACTCGAAACACTTATGCACCTCGGCAATATCAACCTAGTCATCCCTTTACTCTCATTCATGGGGATATCTGGGGACCATTTTGTATCCCTAGTCTTACTGGTGCAAGATGGTTTGTACTGTTGGTTGATGATCACACTAGATTGTGTTGGACATTCCTAATGAAAGAGAAATCAGAAACCACAAACATATTTCAAAACTTTCATGTCATGATACAAACCCAATTCAAAGCCAAAATCCAAATCCTAAAAACAGATAATGCCAAGGACTTCTTCAATTCATGTCTCGGTTCTTATTTCACATCTCATGGTATTGTTCAACAAAGCTCTTGTGTTGACACACCACAACAAAACGGTGTCGCCGAACGTAAAAACCGTCATATTCTTGAGGTGGCCCGATCTTTACTTTTCCAAGCCCATGCCCCTAAAAGATTTTGGGGTGAAGCGATTCTCACTGCAACATATTTGATTAACTGTCTACCCTCTAGGATACTCAAATTTCGTACACCTTTGCAAACAATACAAAGTCTGTTTCCTACCTCACGGCTTGTCTCAAATCTTCCGTTTAAACTTTTTGGTTGTACCGCCTTTATCCATATTCATTCTCAATACCGGGGAAAATTTGATGCCCGTGCACATAAATGCATTTTCCTTGGTTATTCAGCCAACAAAAAGGGGTATAAGTGTTACTCTCCCATCACTCGTAAATTTTACAATACTATGGATGTCACATTCTTCGAAAATATCCCGTACTACTCCAATACTGCAATTCAGGGGGGAATTCCACTGGTGAATTACAACATTAGGAGTGGACATCACTTCTCGAGTCAAACTCATAAATTCCTCCAAATTCATCATCTTCGGTGTTCCCTACTCTGTCTTACAATACACCTATCCCGAGTCAAACTCAAAAGTCTTGTGATCAGTCTTCCTCACCTAATTCCGAGCATGGTCAACCTTCTCCCTATGTCTATCCCAAACATCTTCTTCCCAATGATGCTGTGAAAGTCTATGAAAGAAGGAAAAACCTTGAGGCCGCACTACCTAAGCACTGTCAAGAGACTTCCCCGAGCCAAGCTGAACTTGAGGGACAGCAAGATACAGTAGAATCTAGTCCGCAATTTGATCCTACGATGAATCAGCCTATTGCACATAGAAAAGGTGTTAGATCATGCACTCAACATCCTCTCCGCAGTTACATCTCCTACTCAAGTTTATCGCCAAAATTCCAAGCGTTTGTGACCTCCTTAGACAAAATCAGGATTCCCAATCTGTCTATGAAGCCCTAAAGGTCTCCGAATGGCACAAGGCAATTCTAGAAGAATACACTGTGCTGGAAAAGAATGGCACATGGTTAATATCGGAGCTGCCACCAGGAAAGAAAACAGTGGGCTGCAAGTGGATATTCTCGGTCAAGCAAAAGGCAGATGGAAGTATAGACAGGTACAAAGCTCGTCTAGTGGCTAAAGGGTACACTCAATCATATGGGATTAATTATCAGGAGACCTTTGCTCCTGTAGCAAAGCTCAATACAGTCCGTGTCCTGTTGTTTATTGCCATCAACTTGAATTGGCTGCTGTTTCAGCTTGACGTCAAGAATGCTTTCTTGAATGGAGATTTGATCGAAGAAATGGATATACCATCCGGGTTTGAGACAAAGGACACACAAGGGAAGGTTTGCAAACTGAGGAAAGCGTTGTATGGACTGAAACAATCACCTAGAGCATGGTTCGAGAGATTCACCAAGGTCCTTAAGAAAGAGGGATACACTCAGACACAAGCAGACCACACCTTATTTGTGAAACACTTCACTGATGGAAGAATTACAGTTTTAATTGTATATGTTGATGATATTGTCCTTACAGGGAATCATGATAAGGAGAGATCAGAAGACTCAAGTCTCTCTTGTCCAAGGAATTCGAGATCAAAGACTTGGGACATTTGAAGTATTTCTTGGGGATAGAGGTGGCACGGAGCAACAAAGGAATCTCAGTTTCTCAAGGCAAGTATGTTCTAGACGTCTTGCGTGAGACCGGAATGAGTGGGTGCAAGCCGGTTGAGACACCTATGGACCCCAATACCAAGCTAATGCCTCGAACTGATGAATTGGCGGCTGATAAAGGGCAGTACCAACGATTAGTGGGTAAGCTAATCTATCTGACTCACACCCGTCCAGATATAAACTTTGCGGTCAGTCTTGTGAGCCAGTTTCTGGGTAATCCCTCCATTGATCACATGGAGGCAGTGAACCGTATATTGAGGTATCTGAAGAAGGATCCTGGGAAGGGTCTCATGTTCAGGAAGACAGTCAACCGAACTCTAGAGGTCTATACAGACGCTGATTGGGCAGGATCTCCTAGTGACGGAAGATCTACATCCGGATATTGTTCGTTTATTTGGGGAAATTTAGTGACCTGGCGCTGCAAAAAGCAAACAGTGGTTGCCCGAAGTAGTGCAGAAGTTGAGTTCCGGGCACTAGCTTTGGGTATCTGTGAAGGAATTTGGCTAAAAAGGGTGCTAAACGATCTCAAGATTGAAGCAGCAGATCCTATCAGGATTTTATGTGACAAGCAGTCAGCAATTGCAATTGCCAAAAATCCTGTTCATCACGATCGAACTAAACATGTGGAGATTGATAGACATTTTATCAGTGAGAAAATTGAAAACAAGTTAATCACTCTCAGCTACGTTCCATCGAGGCAACAAGCAGCTGATATCCTAACCAAGGCTCTATTCCGACCTAACCTAACCGAGCTAAGCTCAGTCCTTGGTTTAGAGAACATCTATCGCCTAGCTTGAGGGAGAGTGTAGAAAATCCATCTAGGCTTAACCGTATCCCTGACTTCTAGGGGAGTAGTTTCCTGATTTTATTATCTAGATATACCCGAATATTTGTATTTATTAGAAGAGATATTATAGATCCTGATTTGTAGGGATTCTAGGTCTAATACGTGTGTATATAAGTGTACCTCATAAACGTGAATAATATAGAAGTTATCTTTTCTCATACTTCAGAAAACTTCATTTTCTGTATCTTAATGCAATTTTTATCAGATTTCCTTAGTCTTTCAACACTGAGAGAATAAACCTGGATATCAGAAGTTGCGGGATTTCTATTTGAGAACTATGTCTAATGACTAATGTTGTTTTTAGCAGCGTTGATTACTCATTTTTTCTTGTAGTATGATACTTCTGTATCTGTAAGCTAGCTAGGTAATGGATAAGTGTCATGCGTTTTCAAGTGATGTCATCTGGGTTCCAACAGATGTTGACAATTAATTGTATGGGTTACTTGTGAGTGATTCAAGTTTATGATTAAACCTAAGTAAGATGAGTGCTTACATTTTTTCCAGTCAGCTGTTCTTGCTCTTTTGCAAGAATGAACTAGGACAATGTGACTAAAATATAGTGCAATGGGAAGCTTATTCAATACACATTAATTTGGATAAAAACCAGAAATAACAGGTGATATCCATAGCTCCTGTTATATCAAACTAAGTAATAGGTTGCAAATACACTAGGTCATGCATTAATTAGTTTATCAATGATATGTTTTCTTGTAAAATTTAACACGGGAAAAGCGTGAATGATGAATACTTTGGGCTCCTCATGGTACCTTTGTTTATATTACTTTAGTTTTGATGGTTAATATGTATGCATGCTTTCTTATTTTCAGTTTGGCAAGGCTGTTTCTTTTGTATGGAGTTGACATTGTTCTTCCCTATTTGAACCATCGCTTGCAGGTTCTAGAAAAGGCTTTGGAGGTTTGGGATCTTCAAGTTATCCCCCTTCATTCTCCGGTTGCCGAGCCTGCCCAAATTGACCCTGAGCTAGAAAATGCATTTATTTGTCATTTGCATGACCACTGGTTCTGTATCAGGAAAGTGAATGGAGAGTGGTACAATTTCGACAGTCTGTATGCGGCCCCGATGCACCTCTCCAAGTTTTACCTCTCCGCATATCTGGACACATTAAAAGGCTCTGGTTGGAGCATTTTCCTTGTGCGTGGAAACTTCCCAAAGGAATGCTCCATTCCTGC